ATGAGTTGTACCAAATAAACGATATCTATTGCAATAAAAAAATAAAACAAAATTTTCTATTATCCGAAAAAAGAATTATTTTTTAATATTATGCTATAGTTAGTCACCATCACCATGAGCTTAGAATCTTACACTATATACGAAGAAGAAGAAGAAGAAACAAGCATCTAGACAACATATAAATATATTCTGTAGTATATAACGATATATTTTCTGAATTTGACCTTTATAATATGTATAACTCACCTTTTTAATATTTTACTAACACAACCATGTGATACTTGAAGCTAAAAAAAAAATAACAAATAGATATTTGAAAAAATTCAATTAAATATTAGAATAATATTACTTGACGACTTATTTCACATGGTCGTACACCGTTTTCAGCTAATGCAACTATTCGTTCACGTGTATCTGTTGGTAATGGTCGACCATTAATAAATTCACCACCAAGTTGATTCATTGATGATGAACAAAAACGATTTTTTTCTACAAAAATAACAAAATTTATTAATATTTAAAATTAAGATGAACTAAAAATTTCTTACGTCGTTTAATACCATTAGAAACATGGCTTGGTGTATCTCGAAGTTTGTCATAAGCTAGAAAAAAGAACGAAAAAAAATAAATAAATCAATTTTTATCGATTCACATGTTTTTTTTTTTTGTTCTATATTTCATACATTGTTGCGTTGTTTCTTCTAATCCATTTTCGGTACCATCAATTTTTTCGTCACTATTATCAGTCACGTTTGTATTGTCGTTATTATTATTATTATTATTATTATTCTGATAGGTCGAATGGTTATCAGTCATTATGGTATCAGCCATTGAAACAAAAAAAAAAGAAGAGCTAACAGCAAATGCTTGTCATGATCTGAAATAAAACAAATTAAATTAAATATATACTTATATTAAACTTGTCATTTTTCTTTTTTTTTTTTTTTTAAAAAAAGACATACATATGTAATTATGTATAATCAATAGATATTCATATCGTTTTTTTAGTATAGTTACCATTAATAGATTGATATCCATAGTCACAGTTTTTTTTTCTTTTTTTTTTTTTTTTTTTACTTCGAATGCAAAATGTCGAAATTACTGTTTTACTGGCAACAGCCGAATAAAAAATAGAAGGACATTTTTCAAGATTATAGATGCGGCTGTCGTCGTCGTCGCCTACACTTCTCTTCTCATTAACGATCGATTTTGTTCACGCACGAGTTCTCTTCGTTGCCGTCAATACTGCCTTTCCTATGACTCTCTCTCTC